GATGCGAGCCGACAGACTGACCTGAGCCCTGCGCATGTAGGCCAGCGGCTCTTTGAGATGCTCCGGAGGAGCCGGGGGCCGGCCGGCGGGCGGCTGGCTGCAAAAAGCAAACGGCGGGATTTTAGACGGGGGCCACCGGGGCCAATAAAAGCCAATAAAAGGCAGTTCTCTAGTGCACGAGAGAACAGGGGAATTTTTCTGGGAGTTCAAGCTCTCAAAAAATGAGACGAAAGAGCCCTTCTGCCTTTGGTCGTTAGCTCATGGTGAACGGAGCTCAGATGAGTCAGAACTAATCTGCACCAGATGCTCCGAGTGGTGCGTTAAACACACATCGGGCCTACTGTAAACACACGGGGGGGGGGGGGGGGGTTCGGCCGTTCAGGGCCGGGGGACGAGGCTCCAGGCCTCCCCCGGGACGCCGGGCTTTTTTTACAAGCTGCTTTATTGGGCGGGCAGAGATCCCATTTAGCTCTAGAAGCTCCGAGTTCTGCTCCGAATACTTTTCCAGCCATCGGGGTTTTTACAGGTTTCGCTGGTCAGAGCCTGAAGATTTACGGCAGGTTTGGAAAAGGGAGGCAGAGCAGTGGGTGGAGGGGGGAGGCATTTCTCAGCCTTTATTTGACAGAGACGGTATCTGGCAGGAAGGAGGGAGCCGGGACGAGCCCGGAGCTCCACTTTTGTTTGGAAAACCCCTGCAGAGTTCAGCTGCTTCTCCTGGTGAAGAAGCCAGCGAACGCCCAGAAATGGTCCCTCTGAATCAGATCTGTATCTTTAAATAACCTGACATGTATGGTAACTTTAAATAATCCTGAAAATGACGATTCTTCGCGTTTTACTTCTTTCCTCGTTTCTCAGGTTAAAAGAGGTCAATAGAACCTTTATTGTTTAATTTATTTCTAAAGTATTCTAAGAAGCTTTTGAAAGCTTCTTTGATTTCCTCAAAGAATCCTGATCCCGCTCAGTTACAGGCCCACGCTTCTATTTGTGGGCTGTAACGGAAAATGTTTTGATGTTTTAACGTTAAAAAAGCACATTTTGATTCAGTTTTATGCTCTACATCCAGCGTTTGTGGGCATAAAACAACGTCAATCCTAATGGAAGCAATAACATGATTATCTGAAAGCAGGTTTGTTTGGTTACCTGTAAGGTTCAGTCAGCTCATTGGTCAATTCGTGAAGGCACCAAACAGGCGATAAACAAAAGTAACAAAAGCTAATAGCACTAAAAACAGAAAAGAGTCAGAAATCTGCGCGTTGGGGTACACAGGACAGGGGGAAATATATGTCTAAAAGATTTTAAAAACACACGTTAAGATGAAGATATCAGTGAGATTGCATAGAAACAGGTTAACCAAGAAACGGAGAGGAGGAATAGTGATGGAGAATTGTGTCAAACTAAGGACCTAGAAACATCAGTCTGAGGTTTCTGAGTCTGGGTTTGGGTTAAAGAGGCCTCTGCCCGTCTTCCACTTACATGTGCAGCTCCCTGTACACGGCATTCTGCAGCTTTTTCTCCCAGCCTGCAAAAAAAAAAAGGTGATAATCACGATTAGAGAGGGGTAAAAAAAATAAACATCACGTTGTTGTCCAACTGCGGTTTCCATCCTCACCTGACGACTTAAGGAAACTCCTCACGTCCTCTTTCAGAGACTCCAGTTTGATCTCGGGTCGATGTAAACAGTCCTAAAGAGAAAAAACCGGGCGTTATTTTGTTATTCCTCCTGATAAATGTAGCCCGCAGTGAACGGCGTTAACGGCTAGCGTATCGTTAGCAACATGCTAACCGACTCACTTTGGCTTGCCTCTCTATCTGGGAGTGCAAATGGCTCCCCCTGAGCCGCTGGACCACCCGGGCGATGGTCCCGGACAGCTCGGTGCCCTCCTCCATGGCCCCCGGCGGTCAGAGGCTCCCGCGGGGCGAGGCTGGGGTCGCTAGCATCCGGCCACGGCACCTGCTGGAACCCCCGCAGAGGTTACTTAGCAACGGAGGTCGGTCGGCGTAAGAAAGAGCGTGGGGGGGAAACAAGGACCGGACGCGTTTAGTTCCGACTAATATGAAATATTGTTTTATTTTAATTCAAATGAATCATCAGTTTGGTCAAGTTTATTAAAAAATATATACTCAAGTTTCAAGCATAAACCCTAACCAAAAAGATGTAGATGATATTTGAAAAGGGACGTGGTAAAAAGACGTTTAATGGAGTTTTGAACGACTAAAATGTGGCTTAGTTACAGGAAATAAGTTCTACTTTAATAATGATACGATACAATGAGGGAGGAAATAAAAAACAAATATATAGAAATTAATTAAGCTCTAATTCGTGGTCAGGCCTGGTTCTTTCTCTTAATTGTAACAATAGCTGTGGTCTTTGGGCTGGTTAGTCTTTTTCCTCAATCCAGTGCAAAAGTTTAGAAGATAGAAGAGCAAGAGATGATGAAAATAAGTTCAGATTTTAGCAGCCTGGATCAGCTGGCTATCTGAGATAACCACAAGCCCCATTTTTCAGATATTATTCTTTAGTCATGAAGCCTATTAATAGTATTTTCTCGGTCATGAATCGGTTAATTTGTCATTTTATCTGCTCCAGTTGCTCTTCATGGCACAGATTTTTAATTAGTTTATCTTATAAGGTACATAAATCATTTTATGTGATCACATTTGAATAATACCTACAGGACCTAAAATTCCACCTGCAATAAGTCTCACACAGTGGCTTTCTTTCTTTTTGTTTATTCCTCTTTTTCTCTCTCAGTCTGCAGTTCAAATCTAAGAATGGGAGCCAATAATAGATAATTGTTCACGAGACACCTGATCGTAAATCATAACAGCTGTCTCTTTTTCTCTCACCAGAACAACAACAGGTTGAGATAGTCAGACGTGCAGAAGGCTGCCAAACAGACTCCAAGGAAATGCCAAAGCATGAAACAACACGCCCGAGGTGCGACAGAGAAAAACGGAGCTGTGATCTGTTCTGGAGAAAAAAAAGGAGCCCCAGCCCTCTCACACTCCGAACAGAAACCGTTTTGCGTTTTTTTGACGTTATTGTCGTTACAAGGGGAGGGGTTGGGGGCCCCTAAAGGCGGGCTGAGCTCTCCGAAACGCAACATTCCCACATGTTTCCAGCAGTTGGAACAGCTGAGCAGCTCCGGAGCGCAGCGCGTGCCGAGAGCGCACGGGAACTTGAAGAAAAACCCGTTTTTTTTTATTAATGGATCTCTAATTCTGTGCCAAATCTCACACTTTTTCCAGTTTTTTTTTCTTCCAAAATGAGCGTAACCGCGGCTGCTCCCGTGACTGATCTGGCCTGAGCTTATGTAAAGACAGGTTACATGGAGACGTTCACCATACCAGACGTGCTCATTAATTCCACTGATCTGAACCGGATTTTGTGCAATTTGGGGATCATGAATGTTTCGGAGTGCGAGAGCGACGGGAACTCATCTTCAGAGCCAAAAGGTAAATCGTTTTAATAGGTTTGATTCTATCAAATGCAATTTAAATCAACAAAAAATCAGATAAATATGCTAATACGTAGTTTAAAAAGTAGGACAAATGATTTTAGACTTAAATAGAATAACAAACATGACCTCCAGGTCGTGTCTTTTTCATGTTTTTGCGCATTACGCATGAGACACATGCATATATAGGCACTCCACGAGCAGTTTTCCCGCGTGCACGTGCCTCATTTGGACACAAAAAGCACAAAGTAATTCCGATTATTGTGCATTTAGGGGTTTAAAATAATCCACCAAAGCAACATTTCGCCCGGAGTTATGCAGCGATGGATGAAAACGCGCACAGAGCGCGCGCCGTCGGTGTGCTGTATAGCCTACGTGACTCAGTATTGTCTGAATAAATAGAGCGATGTGTGCTCAAGGGATGTAAAAGGATTTGAAAACATAAATATTAGCTGCATGACAGGAGGAGGAGGGGATGGTGATGGTGATGGTGAGTCAAAACTGCTCCCAGGCCCGAGCAGGGGGGATGAATGTGTGTAAACGCGCGCGCGTCTCCTTTCAGATATCAACCAGACCGTCCGGATCGCCCTCTACAGCCTCATCTTCCTCCTCAGCGCGGTGGGCAACGGCCTCATCATCCTGGTGCTGGTCCGGAACCCGCGCATGAGGACCGTGACCAACCTGTTCCTGCTGTCCCTGGCGGTCAGCGACCTGCTGGTGTCCCTGGTCTGCATCCCCTTCACCTTCATCCCCAACCTCATGCGCGACTTCGTCTTCGGCATCGGCATCTGCAAGATGGCCCTGTACTTCATGGGTATGTTGTGGACAACCCGCGCGAGGGGAATGCCGAGCCGCGGGGAGAGGTTTAGATTAGATTTCAGGCCTAAAAGGTGTGAAACGTTCAGGGGGAAAACCAGCCTCTAATGGGGAATCTTCAAGTTCTTCATGACATTAAAGCAGAAACTCAAATGTGGCACAGTGAGGTTTTTATGAACAGCTGAACAGTCAGGCTGTAATCAGCATCATTATACAGTTCAATTTATTATTTTATTAAGTGAAGATAAGGTTTTTAAATCACCAACCAGACATAGATGCACAAATATAAACTGCAAATGAGTCAGAAACTGAGAGACTCACAGTGTGTAGACCAAGTAAAAGTCAACTTAACTTTATTTTATTTTTTTTTCAATTTCAAAAGTTTATTTCAAACACACACACATTTTAGAATAACGTTTCTAAACATTTTCAATAACTTCAACAAAAAGTGGGGGGAAAACAAGGGCCTAAAAAAGCTAAAACGAAAGAAAAACCATAAGCAGAGAGTCCAGAATTTAAGAAAAAGGTGGGAACAAGAGTGAAGATCTGCAGCCGAACAGAGGAAGAGGATTTTTGAGGGGTGGCATCTGAGAAGCACAGCTCAGGGAGAAGAGTTGGGGAACTGACCGGGAAGCACTGAGGAAACTATGGGAACGAAGGACCAGGATACTAAACACAAACCGGGAAAAGCAAAAGAAGCCGAGAGCACGGGAAGAAAAGAGTGATCCCTAAAGCCAAAAATACAGACGAAGAAACCAGCGAAAGCAGAGGAAAAACCTGGAGAAAGAGACAAAAAACGGCAGAGTTTTTGACATGAAACGCGTCCCACACCGGAGAGCCGTCAGAGGGAACGCCGGAGGGGAAAATCTCTTGATTTATGACCCCCAAAAAAGCAGTTAGTTCGTGAGACTTCCTGTGAAATTCCAAGGCAGCAACAGCAGCAGGGAAATGAGCATTTTCCCACCAGAGGCGTCTTTCTCCAGTTTTTTTTTTTTTCTCCAGAAGCCTCCAGAAGGGTTTCCACGGTGTGTTCAAGGGCCAGCATCCCACACCGGTCTTCTCCCCTCTGGGGAGGGGTCCAGTCCGACCTAAAGGGAGTCGGAATCCCACTGGTCCAGACCCGACAGCTCCCCATTATCTGACTTTTTCCGAGCTCCGAGAGCAAAAATCAGGGCTCCCAGTTCCCACGCGGAGCGCCAGTGGACGGGTTTCCACTCATTTGTTTTTTATTTTTTTATTTATTTTTTTATTTAATCAGGACAGTGCACATTAATATACAATCTCATACAGATTGTAAATGAGCCAGATTATAGCATAGTTGCTAGTTTACATCTGTCGTCCTGAGGCAGGAATACCAAACAACACAAAATCACAAAATACAAAATCAGTCCAAACACACGTTCAGACAATGACATTACAAAATTAAAATTAATTCAATTACCAGGACTCAGGGGGGCAGGCCGTTAGCCCGTTAGCCCGTTAGCCTGTTAGCCACCGGAGCTAACGGACCATGTGGTTGGTGCGTAACTTAGAGAGACTTTGACTTAGACTTCCTTTATTGTCATTGTACAAAAAACATGAGGTGAATCTTGACAACGAAATGTCGATTACTTGGCTACCAGTGTGACGGAGCTAAGACCTTATTCCTGCTTAATAAATATGTTTTCTATATCTAAGAGCTAGATATATACAGGGTAAGAGCATATATATATATACATATTATTGCACACATATTATTACAAAAGAAACATCAATGAATATTGCACTGAGTTGATTGCAAAAAGAAACAATTGAGTTGAAGACAAAGCTAAACTAAGGTGCGTGTATTGTCCATGTCCATGGGGGGAGGTTTTGGTGTGTGTGTGTTCTTTAAACACTCCTTTAAACCTGGGAATTCCCCCCCGTTTGTGGACCTTCTGCTGGGAACCAGTGGGAGCCATTGACCTCCCGGTGAGCCCTGAGCTGGCGGGAAACAGCTTCGGTCAGCTAGCCAAACGGCTAACCCAGAAGGGGGGAAAAAGTCTCCCCCAGAGGAGCTTTACTCTCTCGGGCTCCAGCGAAGCCTGATAGGAATCCGGTCGGATCTCCAGCCGGCAGGTATTCAGGTTTGGGTGGAGCCATTCCGCAGAAATAGAAAGTTTGAGTTGTCTGACTCTGAGGTCATAGTTGCTGCTTTCGCTTATAAGTGGAGAAAAGCAACAGTTTGAGGCCACGTTTTCGAGTGTAAAAAAGTAGATTTTTCACAGAGAAATATTTCTTTAAAATCCTGATTGGATTTGAACACTCACCCCAGAGCCGCTTGATTTGGGAGGAAGGCCTCTTCTCCCACTTGACTCTCTTTTACTGACTAAGCTGGCTCTTTTGTCTACTGTTAGGGTCTAATCTGTTGGGATTTTTACTGTCCAGCACCTTTATTTTGGGTTCACCTCATTAAACCCAAAAGGTTCCAAAGGACGGCCGACTCAGAGAGAAAAACAAGGACTCCAGAAATACAAATTTGCTGTTAAAGTGCGTCTAAAATGACACGTCTGCAAGTAAATACTTTAAAGTCTGAAAAAAAATCCATCCATCTGCCATTGGGCAATAGGAGGGGTACAACCTGGACCATGATGG